CTTGCCGAGGGGGATCGGCCTCTTTCCGTCCTCTTCTTCTTCTGTGCCGGCAATTGGGACCGGTGCCGAAGGCTGGAGTGCCCCTGAGAGACTCCATGACAGTGCTGAGCCTCATTGGCAATGTCTTTCTTCGACATTGGATCTCTTGAAGACGGCGCTGGAGCGCTCTCCTCTGAAGAAGACGTACTGGGTGTGGGATCCCCGGTGCCTGGGTCCCACTGAGGTCAGAGAGCTGCCTCCATGAGGAGGATTTTAAGTTGCTGCTCCCTCTCTTTAAGAGTTCAGTCAGAATTCCCGACAGATCTTGCAGCCGGCTTTTTGTTGACCCTCATCCAGACACCATAAACAGGAGGTGTGAGGGGATCACTTTTAGGCATGCGCTTCGTGCAGTCCTGGCAAGTCTTGAAGCCCAGGGATTGCGGCATGCCCCAGTGACAAATAACGAGGGGGGGAATCCCCCGGTAACTGTGAACTCGCTACACTATACTAACCGCCTAGAACTAACTGTCTACAGCAAAATCCAAAAGTACTGCTATGCTGCTTGCCGAAGCAAGAGCAAGGGGAAGTTCCAGCTACTGTCACTGGCGGTAAGAAGGAACTGAGGGGGTGGCGGGTCGGCAGGGCCCTTTATTGGGCACTATGAAGGCACCACTCAGGGGCACCCAGGCCGACCCAACAGATGCTGCTAGGGGAAAAATTTTCCGGCTACTGTGCACGTGCATGCGCACACCTGATTGGAATTGACATGAGCAAGCCCTCGAAGAAGAAAGGTTGGTTATGAGGTTTCTGGGTGAAAAGTACTACAGAATTGCAAAGTATTTTTTGTGTAGAGCAGTGTTGGTTCTAATGTGTCTAGTACTCTCTGCAAACTGGAAAATATAAATACCCTTTGCAGGCTGCAGTCATTTTACGCCAGCCCTCACTGTAAGTCGTTGTTCTGTAGGCAGCTGATTGTTCTGCATGATTGGTAGAGCCAACATCTTGAACAGGTGCTATGTGCTTATACGTTTTCTGCTTAAATAAACAGAACATTCTTAAACTAATTCTTTCTTCATTGCAGTGATCAGAAACAAGAGGCCAGTTAGCGAACAGTAAGCTTCAGGGAACAGATCTAGAAAATACCAGTAGCCAGGGCTGCCTAGAGGATTCAGGGGGCCTGGGGCAAAGCGGGGGAGCGGACATAAAAAAAGGCACCACCAGCTGCGACACTTGTACTCACCGGGCGTTGCTCCAAGTCTGCGGAGGCAGCAGGTCCTTCAGTCGCTCTGCGTCTTCGGCAGTACTGAAGGACCCGCTGCCGAAGACCTGGAGCGACTGAAGGGCCCGCCGCCAAAGACCCGGACTGTCGCCGGGTGAGTAGCCAGGGAAGGGATTCTCGGCCAGGGCTCGTGGGGCCCCTGCAGGGCCCGGGGCAAATTGCCCCACTTGCCCCCCCTCTGGGCGGCCCTGCCAGTAGCTGCGAGGAATATTATTAGTCCTGGCTGCATATCTAACATACAGCACAGGAAGAAATGAAATAATGTTGTTTCCACTGTTAAAACTACATGGTTGTACTAACAATCATACTCAAGTGAAATTATCCATAGGCTTTTGACTAAGAATTTGCTATCTAAAGCACCTTGAGGAAAGTGGGATACCAACTTCCTTGCTGTTCCTTTTTCGACAAATATATTTAATAGTATCTTTCTGGGTTGTTGTGACTGGGACTGTTATGGCCCTTCCTTCTAATGTCAATCTCTATTAGAGTTATGAGTCAATAGCAAATTTCAATAACTAGCTTCAGTGTGGCAAACTCCCTTTTCCTACTCACTCTAAACACATTAATGTTATTGAGAAGGAGAGTTAGTCAAGCTACCTTTTTGACTGACCTTGTAACAAGATCTAGAACTCCTCCTGTCATAAGAATCGTTTGTTACTGTAGGATACCAACAGACTGCAATCGAAATATAGATTTTTTTTTTTAACCGCCCAGAACTAGACAAACCGTTCTTTCAATCTGTGAAACTTCAAGCGTCTTGTATATTGAAAAAAGATTTAGTATTAAATATGCCACATAATATCCTTGTATTAAGCAATTCTGAACCTTGGCTATCTCCTGGATAGATTGACCAGGGTCTGAGATGTTGAGTCTTAATCAAAATGTGCTGATAAGGGCTCCCTTTGCCTTGTGACTCATTGGTGGTTTTTTTGTTGTTGGTTTTTAAAGTTTAATTTGTCCCTCTTTACTTCTTGTAAACTTCTTACAACTGTGAGTGAATCTCCCACCCTGCTAGAAAGGTTAATGCAAGCTGGCAGCATTTTAATGCCCAAATAGGGGCTACCATGTCCTCTACTCTTTTCTTTTACCCCTGTTGTTTCCAATACTGAGATGGCACCTCTTGTCTGAAGTATTCTAGGGACATTTATAATGGATATAGAAACTTACATCTCTAAGGCTGTGTACACAAGAGACCGTACAGTGACACAGCTGTACAGATACAGCTGCGCCGCTTTAAGATCTCTCATGTAGCTGCTCTGAGCTCTCCCATCAACATAATAAAACTCCCCCAATGAGCAGCGGTAGCAGCTCTCCCGTTGATATAGTGCTGTGTACACTACCACTTATGCCAGGGTGTTTTTTCACACCCTTGAGCGACATAAATTTTGCTGACATAAGTGTAATCTAGACATGGCCTAATTCACTGGTTTGACTCTGGCCCAGGTCAGTACTGATCTGAAAGCATTATCATTGACTATTTTGTGCCATATGTGAAATGAGTTGTAGATCTCCGTTCATTTCCTAGTGCATAGATGTCCACATCACAAAACTCATCACTGCAAACTGACTTCTACTGGCAGTGAGGCCTTGAAAACTGAACTATATTCTAACAACTGTTCCAAGTCAGGGCTGAGTCCTGTTGTTGGAGCAGTCTGTGAGTGACTGCATGCCTGGGGAGATAATATTTGAGATGCTTACTGTTCTTCCTGCCCTACTCCTCATTCACTTGTTTTCCTGCATGTGCTCTCTATTTCCTTGATTGTTTGTTCCCAGTCATTTCTGCCCTACTTACTGTTTATCTCCTCTTTGCATCTCTTTTCTTTGGTTCCACCCACCACCATTCACTTGCTCGCTTCTCCTCTGTGTGTTGCTTATTTCCTACACAGTTAAACTTCTTTCTTCAGATACCTATCATCATAAGAGTTATGTAGCTCCTGAACTACTTCATTACTATGGCCCTTTGTTCGTGCCCTGCTATCTCTGAAACATCTTTCAGAGAAAGAAGAGCAATAGACTTGGTGAGGACTGAGCACTGTGGGAGGTAAACAAACATTGGCACTGTAGAATGCTGCATTGGAACACTCTTCGTTTTACTGTGGTATTAATGGAGTAAATTTTAGACACTGAAAATACCATGTAAACAAATGCTCTAGGTGCCTCTCTGTATGGTGAGACTAGGCTATTTGTCAGGTGTATGGGTGGAAACTTTTCTACCCCAGCATCTAATAGTGTCGAAAATTACAAACTGCTTAAAAAGTACTCTGTTTATAGAAGATAAAATACTTCTATAGTTAAGGTTGTGTTAGCATTTCTACTGTAAGTTTACTCTGTCTTTCTCTCTTCATCTTGAAGCTTATATTTAGAAACTTGGAATACTAAAATGTGGGAGGATAATGAGGATGGATTTCCAATTTTAAGCTTATAGAAAAGCAATCTAGTTTAGGATGTTTTCCTATAACTCTAAAACTTCCTCTTAGTTTGAGAATATTTAGTCGTACCATAAGTATAGAATATGGGCTTACTATAGAACATCTAAACCATGTAAGGAGCTTTTATAAAACACATGGTTCTTTGTTTGTACAGTGCCTAGTACCAGTGGTGCTGGGGGTGCTGCCACACCCCCTGGTTTGAAGTAGTAGTAACAAACACCAAATACATGGTTTCATCCTCAGCACCCCCACTATAAAAAATTGTTCCAGCACCCCGACTAGTACAATGGGGTCCTGTTCCATAACTGGGACTTGTAGGTGCTTCGATAATACTAACAAAAAATAATGCTCCCCAGAGCTTATAATTAAAATTTACACATAATGCCAGGAAATAAAAAACGAGGGATGCATAGGGTGACATACAGCAAGACCTTTTGGTTTGAGTTTTTCTTGTGTATTTTAACTGGTGGGTTTTCTGTTGGAAGTCTTTAGTTGCAGTTCTTAGTGACTTTTGGGATAGGGGGCACTTCAGGGCACCTGTGCACTTTCTTAAAATGTCTTTAAGGTATGTTGAATTCCCCCAAATGTAGAATAAGGGCCCAGTGTAGGCCAACTGGATGTGTGCGCATGGTGGTAGGGAGGAGGTGGGTGGATCAAAGAACCGACCTGGATGTCTGTCCGTCCTTCCTTCCTTCCACCACCCAAACAAAACAAAACAAAAATTAGAGAGGAAAAAGAAACCAAACAGCCCTTTTTCAGGCTGGGATATCCTCCCCGCAACCCCTTCCCAACATAACCTTAGTTCTGCTTCCCTTAGGCCCAGTAGATATCATGCTCTGGTACTGAATTTAAATTCTGTCACTTGGGGAGACAGCCCTACAGCAAAAAAGTGAATTTTTCAGTAGCCAAAGCCCGGCAGAGAGGTACATGGAAGTAGTGAGGTCTTCAGAGGCTGAGGTGGAACTGACACCTGGGGCAGGGGATTGGGAAGGGAAAGAGACGGGGATTAGCTGAAGGGTTCTGTGGGGAGCCTCAGTCTGGGTACCCTTCGAAGCTGATCTAAACTTGGAAGACTCACTGTCCGTTAATCTGTGTTGTGAAAAAATGGCACTTCTAGGCTTCGCTCCATTTATCTCACCTTTCAATAAGAACGAACCCTGTGAACACTGGCGCTTTCCAGGCAGCCAGCCAAGAGTCTGTACGATACACATCTTACAATATGTAAAAGGAGCAATACTGATGAATAAACTGTGTTCTTTTAAACTTCTTAATCGCAACATTACTGACTCAAATGTTTACACTTTGTCCTTCAGGTTCATTGAAAGATCATCCACAGCAGCAGCCTGGCATGCTTTCTCGTGTGACTGGTGGCATCTTCAGTGTAACAAAGGGAGCTGTTGGTGCCACGATCGGTGGTGTAGCCTGGATTGGAGGAAAAAGTTTGGAAGTGACCAAAACAGCTGTTACAGCAGTGCCTTCCATGGGAGTGAGTCTGGTTAAAGGAAGCGTTTCTGCTGTGGCTGGGGGCATTACAGCTGTAGGATCTGCTGTCACAAGTAAAGTGCCTTTAACAGGGAAGAAAAAGGATAAGTCTGACTAAAGGACTGAGACCTAGTTGATTTCCATAATACTGTGTCGGTGGCATTGGAATCTGCTAAGATTTGGACTACAACAAAGCCACATGTCTTAGACACTTATCTTCTACAGAGCTGTGGGAAAACTTTTGCTTTCTTCTGAAGGGACAGAAGAAGCTGACAGCACAGTGTGTGAAGGTTCAATTATAACCTAGATTCAAGCGTTATATCTGGTGAAATGTTACACTTGATAAATGTAGAACCAAGTACATGTATATGAAGGGATAATACATGTTTGAATATTCATTTACTGTAAATCTTTTGCAGTATGGGACTAAGATGTGAAAGTAAAAAATTAGTTGGCAATCTTTGCAGTACTAAATGTATGATGTGCCAGCTACCATTCTTAGTGGTTTCTGCATCCTCTTGATAAGGAATCCTTGAACTATGTAAAGGCATCTTCTGATGTGCCTGATAATTTCATATATTTTTTGCTTTTGGAAACTGTATTTTTATACAGATTATAAACTCTGTCGGTGCATTCTGTTAGTGATGGCTGGCAAGAGACAGAACTGGAGATGTTCAGAAGTGGAGATGGGGGTGGGGGGAGAAGTATGCGTAAAATGGTTTGTGATAGAAGGCATCTTAAAAGTTTTATGTTTGCGGTATACTGATTTTAATAATTCATGCCTTATGGTTGAAAAACTATTTTTCATTTAGTGAAGCTGTGTAAAGAATGTTTTCTAATGTCCATTTCAACACAGTTCATAGAACAAGCTTTAGACACTTTTTTTATATGTGTTGATATCTGAAACTTAGCCATCTTTTACTAAAGACAATACTGCTAAATCTCAGGTGTATTTTAAAGGTATCACTCTATCACCTGCAAATGAAAGCTTACTACTTGTGACTTTTTAGCTAGAAAACAATAGAAGGGAAATGGCTTAGTTTCAATTAAACCGAGGTTCATGATCCATATGGCAATGGATGGCAACCTGTAGTTATCTTGAGAGAAATTCCTTTGCTGTGAAGTTGGAAACCACTGAAGAGTGATCTAATTAAAGAAAAGCCGCTGTCTAACTGCATGCCATACCAGTTTAGTTTGTTGCTTTAACCATTCACCATCTCTTATAACCAAGATATAAAGATTTTTTTCACTACATTTATATCTCAAGTACATTTTTACTTAAAACACAGCACTGTACTATTTAAACAAATAAACAAGACTGACAGAATGTTTAAAGCAGGAGAAATGTCATCTCAATGAATTGCATAGGGACAGATTTCCAACCTTGACACTCCTTTGAATGGCTGCATTCTCATACATCTTCAAGGATGTGCATGGGCAGGATCTAAATGCATGACATGACACAGGCTCAGTTAGTCAAGATCATCTGACTCTGCAGCTAAAAATAACCTTTTGACAGCCTGTAAAAGATGGCGGAAGTTTTATGTGAATATTCTGTATGCAGTATTTCCTAAAAACGTATGTCCCTGCAGAGAATTTCTAAACACGTGAGCTTACTTTTAAGTGGCTATAGTTGTACAAGGAAGATATAAATGTGTTTTTGTAGAAATTAAAGGTCAAAAGGTATCACTTGTCTAAAATTTTTATTCCTGTTTAACTGATGTTGATATGGTAAACTATTTGATATAAATTAGTCAGCTAGTATGTCTGAACTATTGGTATTTCAGCTGTGATCTGAAGCAACTTTCTTCATTAGACATCATTACTGTTAAACTGTCAGATAAATATATAGTTTCTAGCTACTCTGTAGAAGTGGAAATGAAATCTTAAAGTATGTAATTTTTTTTTTAAAAGATTCCAAGTAAAGAAATTATTTACTCATCTTGTTTGAGTAAAGCATCTTGCATTGCTATGCTAATCTGTCATATACCATTTTTGGGGATTGAAGAAGTCCATGTAGTAAATGTAAGTTTATCATCTGATAGTTCAGAGCCCTTGACACAGAGTGGTATGACAATCAACTATACAAAGATTCACAAATATTACTACATTCACCGTTCAACAAAACCCTTACTAATAATCTTTATGGAAACTCTGGGCATTTTAGAGTGTTAAATTTAAAACACAAACTCCTTACCCTTTTTGATAAGCGATTTAAATGTTTTTTTAATAACAGACACTATGAAACTTGCAGCAAACTAAGTGTAGTCTGAGAAGTTTCTTGCTATAATCTATACAACTCTACCACCATCTTGCAGCATGTGTTAGGAGCAAAATGTATTATTCAGTTATTCTGAATTCTTGTAACTAAATGCTTTAAAGTAGTATAGGGTTTCAGTTTAGAGCTTGGTCCTATGCTGTCTGCATATTTTTATTTTCCACTTAATGTATGACTGTGACCCTTTTTTCAAAACTGTTCTAATTCTGTCCTGCTTGGAACTTGTGAAACATTAAATTGTTGCAGTTTGACTTCTTCTGACAGCTTCCTTTCTAGATGTGGGGAAGGTAAAACTACAGAGGAGATGATTCTACCTATGAGTTGAATAACTTGGTGGGGTGGGAGGTCTCCATATTACATTATTGCACCCAAAAGTGTCATTGATTAAAATAGTGCTTTAAAGATCCCAGCCAAGACAGCAGCTCCATTGTGCTTTCAGATAGGATGCACCAAGGACTTTCTTACTGTTTAGACAAGAAAAATAGTGGAAGAAAGAACATATTCCTATTTTAACAGATGGGGGAACTGAAGCATCGAGAGAGAAAATGAATTTCCCCAAGGTCCAATGAATACGAATGGCACAGGAAACTGAATGCTGATCTCCAGAGTCACAATCCAATGTCTTAATCACATGTCTCTGTCCCAAACAGTTTACAGTCAGGAAATAAGCTTGTCTCTGACTCTCCATGCATGGAAAATTCTTGAGCTGTGAGACTGATACTTTCTCAGTTCCAAGAGGGAGATGTCCATGGCAGCTAAAGTATGGACAGCTCTTTGCTGCTTTGTGGGCAGAGTTCTATGCAGCTTACGCTGTAGCTCTTTCTGAAAAGATCTTACAGATGGGGAAAACTCTGATTTTAAGTTATTTGAGGGGAAGGGGGACAAGAAAGAATGAGGGTTACAACAATATGATTAAGTGGTCCTCAATTCAGATGTGCACATCCTGGTGGGGGCTCAGTTTTGTTATGTGTTGGGGAAGTTAGGAGCAGTAGTAAAGATGGGAGTTCATTAGATCATGGTTGAGGTTTTAGCTGTTGGCACTGTGAGGGAAGGATCATAGCCTCAAAACAGAATAAAGAGTAAAAGCAAGATTTGTACCCAGACTATTGGGAGGAATTTGAGATGACTACCTGGCTGAGTCTGTGTGACTGGGAATAAGGTGGTGTTTTCAATGGTAACAGAGGAGGAAGAAGAAAATGTTGCAGGGAGGGATGTTAGAGACAAGGTGGCTGATATAATATCTTTTATTGGACCAACCTTCGGGGGGGGGGGGATTTTACACTATCAGAAGCTGGATTTCTTGTGAGATACTTTTGGAAAAGTTGAAAACTAAGCTCTAGCAGAAAACAACATGCATAGGTGGTTTCTAGGACTACACATTTAGTAGTATGTAGCTGTGTAGTAAACATTTGAATGCTTATTAACCGGTGTGACTTCTTACATGATCACTTTTACATAATCTGAATTTCTGTCTGGGTGAAGGAATGTTTCATTTGAGGACCAATCAGACCTTTGATCTGAAAATAGAAACAAACTGGAATGGGACTGGAGGACCAGAGAGTAAATTTGTATAGCCCATTTAACAAAATTATTAAATTAATCCTGTGTAGCAAAACATAACTATCAGCATGCTTGGCATTTGTTCAAAACACAGACAGTCCTTGCCTGCAGATCTTGCAGTCTGAAAAAGGAAGACAAATGTGGAGACATGACAAATGGAAACCAATTTAAATTCTTTTTATATTTGGGAAAGTGAAAGCATAATAGCAGGATAGATTAACATAGGTGGACCTATTAAATGAGGTTTCAAGAAGGATAAGAATGAGAATTATTATGTAAGTAATATTTTTTTAGAGGTGATCCGTATAAAATGGCTAAAACGTTCATAAAGATTTGAAACTTTTTTAAAACAAGCGTTTGGGGGGAAAATCCTTTCTCCTGAATCTTGCATATTAGTGGTGAAAGAAACAGGCTGGTTGTTGCAGATGCCAATGTACAGAGCAGTGAACAGCCCAATTTCTGGATTATTTCATGCTCTCGCTGAAGGATTTTTTTAAAAAGAACCCAGATTTGTATTAAACTATAGTTTCTTCATGCTAAGGTCCAGAGATCTGTTATACTGGCTACTTTAACCTGCTTGCAATTTGGGGGCAAAATGAGACTTGACAGCTGGGGAATGCCCCACCCCTGAAGTTCTCTCCAGTTATTTTTCCTCTCTCCACAGTGGCAGGTAGCTTTATCAACCCTCCCTGCTGCAAAGATTTTTGTGAGAAATTCCAAACTCAGATCTGCTAGTAGCCTACTGGGTGTCCTTGGAGAATCAGAGACAAGTAGAGCAGGGCGCAGTCTGAAAGATCGAAAGTTCCTAAAAGAGGCTTGTCTTCAAAATATGTCCATCTTACCATCCTCAGACTAGTATGTTTTGCAGATGAATGGCAGGCTTTTTTTTTTCTTTTCCCAATCTGATCTTACATGTGCTCTCAGGGTCTATCTCCAGGATCATGGTAGCAATAGTACTGGCATTAGGGAAGAAGAAAATTCATCTCTCTTCCTGAACAATCTTTCTGATCAGGGTTCTGTACAGAGAGAAAGCTGAAGCAAACACACAGTAATACAGTTTCTTCTTCGAGTGCTTGTTCACGTCCATTCCACATTAGGTGTACGCACGCCGCGTGCACGAATCGTCGGAAACTTTTCCCTCAGCGGCTCCCGTCGGGCCCGCAGGGTCTCCCCTCCTGCCAGAGCGGCGCCCCGCCCTCGCGTATATATACCCCTGCCGGCCCAACCCTCCCTCAGTTCCTTCTTACCGCCCGTGGCGACGTTGGAACAACTCTGTCTCTCGCCTGAGAGTGTCCCTTAGCATAGCCATTAGCAATAGTTAACAGTTCATAATATAGTTAAGTGTTTAGTGTTAAGTAGTTGATTAGTTCTTCCCAAAGACCAAAATCTCTTGGTGATAGGGGTTTGGTCAACCCCGGCACCGGCCCTGGGCGGCGGGGCATGCCGCACGCCCAAGGCTTCAAGGCGTGTGCCGCGTGCCGCAGGCCTATGCCAGTGAGCGACCCGCACGAGTCGTGTCTCCGTTGCCTCGGGGAAGCACACCAGAAGGAGCGCTGTAAAATTTGTAAGGCTTTCAAGCCCAGAACTAAGAAAGAGAGAGACTTTCGCCTTAGATAGCTCCTCATGGAGGCGGCGTTACAGCCCTCCTCTTCCGCGGCACCGTCCACTTCGGTGCGGAGTGCCCCGGCATCTGTCCGCGACCCGACACCGGCGGTGCAGACTAAGCCCATGGTGCCACCAACGCGAGAACACGCCCGGCATTGGTGGTCTTCGCCGGCCAAGTCGAAGGGCCAGCCTAAGGCCCGGGGGCGCTCCCCACACAAGAAGGTGGCACCGGCAAAGACCGCAAGTACGGCCAAGGCCGTGACGGCCCCGATACAGGTCCCGGTATCAGTGGCTCCGGCGCCGAAGGGCCCGTCGAGCCCCGGGACGAGCGCGTTGAGTGAGGAGGAAGGGCTGGAGGAACTGTTGTAACAGCCCTCCACCCCGGACACATTTGAGGCAGCAAAGGACCTCATTGAATTGTCCTCCGAAAGCACACTCCGCGCTAAAGACATTCCGCCGCGACTGCCATCCAAGGGCAAACCGGCTATGATGCGCCCATCGCGGTCGCCATCTCGGCACCGTTCACGGCGCCGGTCCCGGTCGAGCTCCGCCTCGGTGGACTCCCGGCTTCCCGCCGCACAACGGACCACAAAACAGGCCCCGATGCGAGCGAGGCACCGCCCCAGCAGCCTGGCTCGAGCAGGCGCCGGGACGCTTCGATGGCGAGGCTCCCAAGACCATCCTCCCGCAGCCGCTCCCGGTCCCGCGGTCAACGGTACCGTTCCAGGTCCAGATCGGCACGGCGCTACTCACGGTCCCGGTCCCGACGGCACCGGACTGGCACCGCCGTGGCCCTCTAGGTCACCGTCCCTAGCATCGGAAGAGGGCTCGGGTCTTTCCAGATATGGCCGCAGAGGGCACGCCGTTAGACAGCACGAGGCCTCTTGGCAGCCGCATTGGAGCCATCCTGGACAGTGGCCGTTCTGGACTCCGTGGGCCTATCATCAACAAGGCCCTCCGTCCAGAACCTCGAGATCGGGCCCCTCAGGAGACCGGTCCCGCTCCCCACGGTGCCGCCCTACCTCCCGTGCGGAGGCCACGGTCTCCAGACCACCTGACACAGAGAGGGCGGACTCGGCACCGAGCCCGGCACTGTCCCTGACTCAGGGCAGGGGGCGCACCCCGGAGGGCCGCCCCGCTGAGGAGGAGTTACAGGAGGACGAGGACGCTCAAAAGGCCATGACCACCTCCTCCTCACCGGACGAAGCCGTGGCGGGCACAACAGTGTCCGGCCCTCCCCCTATTGACCACTAGGTGCACCAGGACCTGCTCCGCCGGGTAGCCCTCAACTTGGGACTACAAGCAGAGGAGACGGTTGAGCAGGAGGACCCGATGGTGGACATTCTGAGCCCAGAGGGTCCCTCCAGGATCGCGCTCCCGCTCATAAAAACGGTCCAGTCAAACTATAAGACTGTGGCAAACGCCAGCCTCCTCTGCGCCAACTGCAAAGGGCGTGGAAAGAAAGTACTTTGCCCCGTCCAAAGGGTTTGACTTTCTCTTCTCCCATCTGGCCCCATGTTCGCTGGTCGTCTCGGCGGTTAACGAACGGTAAAGGCATGGCCAGCAGGCCCCAGCCCCCAAGGCCAAGGAAGCAAAACGACTAGACCTATTTGGCAGGAAGGTCTACTCGTCCGGAGGCCTCCAGTTGCGGATCGCAAACCAGCAAGCGATCCTGAATAGGCACAACTTTAACTCATGGGCATCAGTGTCCAAGTTCAAGGACGCCTTGCCTCAGGGATCACAACCTGAGTTTGCGGCCATAGTGGACGAGGGGAAGGCGGTGGCCAAAACCTCTTTACAGGCCTCACTTGACTCTGCCGACGCAGCCGCTAGAACAATCGCGTCAGGTGTTGTGATGAGACGCTCTGCATGGCTGCAGTCTTCTGGCCTTCCTCCGGAGGTACAAAACACCCTCCAGGACCTGCCGTTCGAGGGTTCGGGCTTATTTTCAGAGCAAACAGACGCCAGGCTACATAGCCTCAAGGACTCTCGGGCTACCCTCAAGTCCTTGGGGATGCACACCCCGGTGACACAGAGAAAGCCCTTTAAGCCCCAACCTCCGCAAAGGCAGTACCATCCTCGCCCT